GACGTTGAACCAATTCTTTCTTCTCCTTCATCCTTTTCCCCCTTTGTTTTTTTCTTGGACTGAAGAGAGAGGAGATATAAACTAAAGAGAGAGGTAAAAGTGGTTAAGTGGATATGGAAAAACGACATTAAGAAAATAAAACAAAAAGAGAAAATAAATTGGAAAAGCAAAAGGTATCAACTAGCAATCAACTGAAAAAACGGTTAATTAGTATCATGGGTTGAACATCCACTTTTATGCCCGAATAGCAAGTCGCGCCAGTTTGTAAAAATTTTATTTCCACTTCCCAAATTGCCCCTCCAAAAATGCTATGGATGCTGGAATTTTTGAATGGGGGTTGCAGTTAACAGATCATAATAAATTAGAGTATAGATTTCACAGTTCTTGCCCATAATAATGATGCACAGCCTACCAATGGATTCACTTCCTTGGTTCTTGAATCAAGCAATATGGCGCATGGCTGATGTTGTAAATATATTATTAAGTTGTGTGCCACTAAGAGAGACAGAGAGAGTTGTCAATTCCCCTTTTTGGTTTTTCTTCTACTTCCTCCCCTCTTACATCTGGGTTCCAACAACTCCATTTATCTATGAATGAGTTTTTTAAAATCATCCAAGATGAATTTGCAGTTGTGCAAGGCCCCAACTTTCTCCTCCTCATTTTTTGTCTGCTAGCTCCTCCAGAAATCGCAGCAAAGAAAAGGGGAGCAAAATAGAAATGGCGCCGCACAAAGAGACATGGCCGCTAACCCACTCCTTCAGGCCAAACAACTTGGGTTTGCCGGGTTTGGCCAGATTCGAGTAGATGCTTTCAGTGGCCAGCATTAACCCATTTTTGTGGACAAGTCCGGGTCAAACAGAATCTACCCGCGAATGGAATTGCAGGTTGACAATCTTGCTATTAAGCATATATATATACATATGGATGATATTGGTGTACTCCATAAGTATACGATACTCCATATACTCTAGTAAGTAGAGTTTGAGGTATGATACTATATTCTAACCTTTAATGAATAAACCTCATATCTCAATTCTCTAAACCCAAATCCGAAAATTTAATAAAAATATATGTATTGACGATGTTGATTCACCAAAGCGCCATAAAACACATCCAACAACCAAATCACTTAGAGTACTTTATACTCCAGATTCAATCCTTCCCATCCAAGGGCAGACCCATCTCAAAGAGAGGCGTGTCACCCGACACATCTGCCACATCTTCGTGCGACGTTTTTGTGAGGAACCTATATTTTTTTATATAAAAAATTCAAACACAGACCTCCGACACACCTTTGATAATTGTAACTGTCACACCTTATGATGTGATTAAGCTAGCTATCAAGAATGTCAATTTCCAAGCATTCCAAGTTGTGATTCAATCATTGAAGAATAACGTGGTGAAAATGGCTGAGTATGGAAATAGTGTCAGGGTTCCTACTTTGGAGGCTTGTATCTTCATCTTGAAAGATAATCAATGGGAGTTTGGAGTTGAAGGTGGAAGTACAAGTACTGGTAAAGATCGTGAAGGCAGTGGATGGTTGATTTAAAGCTTCCTGGACACCAAACGAGTAGCCTGAAGATCGTGTGGTGATCAGGAAAAACATCCTAAGTGAAGATGAAATTCCCCTCCCGAGGATTTTGAGTGTCACCCCGTGGATTTTGACAGGAGGAGTTACCCGGGGTCAGAAGCATTTTACCCGTCCGGGGATTTGAAGACTTAACCTGGAGAATTGTAGCTTATGAGTTTGTTACCTTTTTGTGTTAGGATATTTTTTCATTTTAAGTATTTTAATTAGTTTTATTTCCTTGTTAGTAGAATTAATTTTTTTCTTTTCTTTATAGAAGCACGTACACGAGTTTTAGGGCATATTTTGAAGAATATTGATTTTATCTTGGTACATTGAGCGTTTGGCTTGTGAATTGTTCTTTGTATCAATTGAGTTTTTCCCTTGATTTCGAGATTCTATTCATATATTGATAGAGCCTTCTCCCAGGGTGTGAGATTGAACTTCAATTCCGCCCTATACTTATCTTTTATGCCAGTTCTTACCTGCATTGTTTTGATAACTGCGCGCACCGGTTTCGTGCTCATATCACCTATTATATTACAATTTTTTTTTGTAAGAATGTTATTAAAATATGTAAATATATGAGTTATCGGACTTCACTAGTTTGTTAATTAGTTGGTTGTACAAGAGTAAGCAATTAATTTACTACTTGGTATGTAGTTAGTGTTCGAGAGATAGTTATTACCTTAGAGATAAACTTAGTAATTTTAATTAAAATTAAAATGATTAATCAGATGGTTGAGTTAAGTAATTAGATAGTGAATTCCATCTCGTCTTCCTCGTAGCTTCTTCCATAGTTTTTATAAAAGTTATTTCTTTCCACTTTGACGACTATCGCTACCCTCTGATTGTCAGTGTCAGCGACATCCTCATTCTTAGAGGTGGGCATCCGGTTTGGTAAAATTTATCTGAACCGGACCGAACCAAATTCAAACCAAACTAATATTGAAATATTGTTATTCAGTTCATAATTCGGAAGGGAAATGGGGCTAATGCGGAAACCAGGATAGTCCTGACCAGAGCGAATTTCCGAATTCCGAACCGGCCAACCGAATTCTCCTTATTATATCCCTAGCCCAGTCCCTCACACTCACAGCCCAACCGAAGCCCAAATTCTCACCAACCCAAGTTGTATTCTCCATTCGTCGATTTCTTGACGGCTAGCTGGAGAATCGATACACCAAGTTGGATTCGAAGGTGGATAGGTGAATGGTTGAAGTTTCTGAAGGCTAGAAATGCGCAAACTAACCAACTTTATTGAAATAAAAAAAAAACATTATATACAAGCTTCACACCAGAGAAAATAGACACAAAGAAAACCCTCAATCCCCACTTCCCTGACTTTCAGCAACCTAACGAATTCCTAATTCTACTGCTAACAAACAGTCATAACCTACAAGACTTTCCCAACTTTCCATAACCGAAGTGCAACACAACAGGGACTCAAATAATAACTTAAATCCAAACGACAACATTTAACATTAAACACTACATGTGCTACATCACGTGATTCAATTATCTAACATAGCCTCCTCTAAACTGAAACGTTCTAAATAACTCTTCAATCAAACTTAGATTCAGTAGATTGCCGCAACATATTCAGCAAATTGTAATATCCAAGTTCAGCGAATCACAACAGCAACTTCAGCAACCTATATTGCAGCAAAAACTTCATACACAAACATGCCCAATCTGCAGAAAATAAGAGCAATGTGTTGTCTTCCTCACATCACATTTGATGCTAGCCTCCAACGAGATTGGCTTTAGTTCAATTTCTCTTTCTCTTACCATCTTCCTGCAAAGCATACCCAACTATTTTTATTTTCGATTTCTTCACTGTACTCCTAGACATGTTCTCTTAGGTTTCTTCTTCCATGTCATCTGCCAACATTTGGAGTAGGAGGTGGCCAGATATGGAGACAAAGAAAGATGGGGAAGATGAACAATTTCGGAGAGAGGAAGGAGAAAGACGATTCGGGTCGGTTGAGTCAATTAGAGAAGAAGAGAAAGGGTTGGTCATGGGTAGGATAGGTTTTATTGACATGGCGGGTCGGGTTTTATTTCTGCTGGGTTAAAATTGGATGATTAGGCACTTATGTTGGCCACATCAGCAAATAACGCACTTAGTTAATGGAGACGGACGGAGACTAATAGAGAGGGACCAAATTTGAACTATTTGACTAATTCTAAAGACCATGTACGAAATAAATATTTTTAGTGGCCAAACATGAATCTTTTTAGTAATTTCAGTGACCAACATTAAAATTTACAAAAAAAAAAACTAATTCGCCCTTGCTTCTCTGTTTCTTCCTCTTCCTCCACTCCAGCAAAAGTTTTATATTGCCATTCCCCACTCCGTCAACGGAATCTCGAGTGGATCTTTGTTTTAAATTGTTATAAACTCCCGTACTCCCTCTCAGAAGTCGATGGCATCTCCTTTGGAACCCTCAACTCCCTCTTCTCCAAAACAAATGTCTCCCCAACGAACATTGACATCTTAGTGGTCGAAGTGTCTATGTTTTCCCCCTTAACCTTCTTTGACTTCCAAGATTGTCAACATGTACAAGATTAGGAAAAACATCAAAACGATAAACATATCTGGGATGGGATGTATTGCTAGCATTGTGGACATCAATTTAGTATAAGAACTATTCAATACACAACAAGACTTTGGCCATTTTGGTGAACACAGAGCCATCTAGATCCAATTGGTACTGTGGGAAGGATAGATCCATGATTTTGTGAAATTGCATGTTCCAGTCCGGTGGATTTTCAACTTTGTTCACAAACAACGAAGCACTGAAGGGGAAAGCAGTGATGAAACTGAACCAGCATCGTCTCACTCACCGGCTCTGGAACTCAAGATGCTTTGGAGGTTTTAGCGGGGAGACAGAGTTCGATGAAAGATGGATGTATTTACTCACTGATTCCCATAGCGGACATGGTCCAATCAATTAGAAAGTATGAGAGCAACGAATGAGTTTCACATTCCATACAGTTTGTTAATCTTTTGTAATACTATTCAACGGAGAGTCCATAGTGACGAAATCCACCCGATCAAAAAAAGTTAGAACTTTATCATAATATTGCGAGTTAATACCTTATTTTGACCCAAAACTATACTCAAATAATCAAATTTGACCCATGATTCTTGAAATTACTATCCAGGCCTCAACTATACACCATATAGACTAGCTTGGTCTGACCGATGAATTTCTGTCAATTTAGACGGTCAACAGTGTTGACCATTTGTAAATCAACATGCTTAGTTGACTAGGGTGCCTTGTAGGCAATAAAAATTTAACATTTAATCCAAATTCAAATATTTTTTCTATACTCTTTTACATTTTAAATGGAAAATAAACATAAAAAGATATCTCTCTCTCCTCACTTCCTCCACCGTGTTGCATCTCCCCCCAATCCTCTGCTAATGCCAATCGATTACCTTCTAAGTTCTAACCCCTCCCTGGTTGCGGAGACTCATATCCCTGATCAAACTCAATTGTGCCAAATTTACCTCAACTCTGATCTAGAGAGTTGTAGTCGTTGCCTCGGATCTTCCAAAACCACTGCCATATTCCTCAGAGCTTGTGCTTCGATCTGCAAGCATGGCGAGAATCATCAGCTTTCCCAGGATTTGACCCCATCATCGAATGGCCATGAAAGATTCATTGAATCTCGCCGCCGCCCACTTGAATCGGTGGAGAGAGGAAGATGCTTGTTGTGGAGCGCGAACCAGATCCACCGTCCTCGATCTTCCCGCAGCGCCATCGCCGTCGTTTTTGAAGGAAATAGGCGGATGATTTTGAGGGTTCTTGAAGGGATTCCGCGGAGGCGAGTGGATATGCAGAGAGACGAGGAAATTGTTAAGAGAAGAAGAGGATAGAACCAAGCTGGAATAGATTGGAGAGAAGAATCATCAGTTAAAAAAACCAAGGAAGAATTGTTGGGTGGAGTTTCGTTAGAAGAACTGGGAACGAGATTTCCCACTCTTTTGTTCGTAGCTTCACAAATTGAGAACAAAGGGTTCTGTGGGAAGGAAGACCCCCTTTTCACTTGTTTGGACTTTTTATTAATGATTTTGCAACCCATGCCTATGAGGCTTAATTCTCTTTTTTAATTTATTGGGCCAAGTTTCATGTGAAAAAAATAATTATCTAAAATATTCCAACAATAATATATTTAAATTAAGTTAAAATTTTATTATAATTAATGATGACTTGGCAGTGAGCTGGAGCGTTGACCGTTAGTCAACGGTATTAACCATCTAAATTGACGGTCAAACCACACGTCCGACTAATTGTGTCTATATGGTATATAGTAGAGGTCATGATAACAATTACTACAACCACGGACTAAATTCAATTATTTTAGCATAGTTCGGGCGAGAATAAAATATTAACCCTATTATTGCCATTATAGAAACTTGTTAACAATAAATTAATAATATGTAAACTGCTAGTTATCTTAATAGCTATATCGCTTGCAATACACTGAAATATTTCTCCATACCAAACAAAATATATTTTAGGCATGAAATTTCTTCATAGTTACATTAAATATATATAACTATATTTTCACGTCAAAATCAGAGCTAACTTTGATTAAGGCTGAGAGTTCTTTGCATCTAATCCACATAGCTTGTTCATGATAATGCTAAACTAAAAGCTTGTTAATCACATTTTATTGACAAGTACACCTTTAAAATCTATCATATAAATGTGTTGAAGAACAACTTGCATGTTATCCCATTTTCATGTAAATAAGGTCGCACAATGATAAATCTTTATTATCCCACACTATATCAAACAAACTATGTTTTTCTAATCTTGCAGTTAGAACTTCGATTATGATATGATAAGTTATTCGCCAGCTAATCCACCTATGTCTATCTAATACATTTACAAACGAGACGAACACATAAATGGATTTCATAGTCAACTACTCATGTCTATTTATATTGGATGTTCATGATAAGTCGAGATATATCTTTAACAAAAAGTTATTAGATTAAAATTTATCGAGTCGTTTTCTCTACTATTGATAAAAAAATACTCGTCATATTTCGAACAAACGATGATCATCCAATAACCATAATAGAGAAACAATACCAAAAAAAAAAAAACGAAGGAAATTTTCCCTATCTTTGTGGACAACCAAACTTTTTGTTGGTGTTGTTGTTGTAAGCCAAGATTTGTTTTTGGCCTCAAGAATAGAAAAATACGAAGAAATGCCTAACATAACGTAACGAATGGACCCCATGAACAAAGCCGATTACCACGATGCAACTCGACCAAGATCCTATATGTGTGTCTCTTTATCTTGTTTGGTCATCGGTGTCGTGCCTACTCCTCCTTTCCTTTCGAAAGAGGAGTCACGCCCTTGATCTTCGGTTCATTTTTTCATCTTTATAATCATTTTACTATTTTTACTAATTTCCTTTTCAATTAACTTTTCTTTTTATGATAACTCATTTCCAAATTACTCTTCTTCTTCTTCTTGATATTCTTGTTATCCCTGCTGCCCCAGTTGTAATCCCTGTGATCCATGACTGATCCTTTATCTGATCGCAAGATGGTTGTGGGCGCTGCAGCCACCGCTGCTGCATTCCTCTTCCTTGTCATTGTCTTGGCTTCCCCGATCGCTGCACATGAAGAGAAGCTTGAGAAGGGAGAAGGTGTGACGTACGATGCAAGGTCTCTCATCATCCATGGAAAAAGAGAGCTCCTTTTCTCTGGCTCTATTCACTATCCTCGTACCACTCCAGATGTACGTAATAATTCCATTCCATTCCATTCTATTGACGACACAATAGATTTTCAAAAGCAAATCCTATCATTACATTACATTACATTACATTACATTACATAGTAATTATTTTTTCCAACAGATGTGGCCAAAGCTTCTTGAGGATGCTAAAAGGGGAGGCCTCAATGTGATCCAGACTTATGTTTTCTGGAACATCCATGAGCCAGAGGAAGGCAAGGTAAGTTTCAATCCAATTGGAGGATCATTCTTTTTGCAATCAATTAAGCGAAATTCACAATTTAGTTATGAATGTTGTTGGCGTTTGGTTCTTCCTTTCCAGTTCAATTTTGAAGGAAGATTTGACCTGGTGAAGTACATCAAGCTGATTGGTGAACATGGCTTGTATGCAACCGTTAGATTTGGACCATTCATCCAAGCTGAATGGAATCATGGGTAATATTTAATTTCCTTTCATTTGTATATATATATGTTATCTCCTTTTGCTTTGCTTCTTCTGCTGCTAATTCTTTGCTTGCTTGCTTTCCCTGCAATGCAATCATAATCACCAGAGGACTTCCCTATTGGTTGAGAGAGGTCCCAAACATAATCTTCCGTTCCTACAATGAACCCTACATGGTAACTAAACCATATATACAACTAAAACTAAAAATGAGGATTATGAATTAAATCATATTTTATAATCTCCATTTTTTGGCAACAGCAACACATGGAGAGATTTGTCAAGATGATTGTAGATAAGCTTAAAGATGCCAAGTTGTTCGCAGGTCAAGGAGGTCCCATTATCCTAGCTCAGGTTTATTAATTCTAGAGCTATATTCTTCAATATTATGTCTTGTAATTGAAATTGAAAAGAAGTTAAGTTGTTCAAAACAAACAATTTAAGATTGTGAAGCTGCTATTATGCAGATTGAGAACGAGTACAACACTGTCCAATTAGCTTACAGAGAATTGGGAAATAAGTATGTTCAATGGGCAGGAAATATGGCTGTAGGACTCAACATCGGTGTCCCATGGGTCATGTGCAAGCAGAGGGATGCTCCAGGCCCTGTTGTACGTTACCTACTCACTAGTTTAAATTCATCTATTATGTTACGTTGTTTTCAAGGTTTTAGTATGATTATTATATTATATTTTTTGTATTTTATTTTAGATTAATTCTTGCAACGGAAGGCAATGTGGAGACACCTTCAGTGGCCCAAATAAGCCCAACAAACCCTTATTATGGACTGAGAATTGGACCGCTCAGTGAGTAGATCCAAGAGATTTACCTTGACCAATTTCCACATTAGCTATCTATCTGATTGAATCAATCTTAAACATTATTATGAATATGAATATGATATCCACAGGTTTCGAGTTTTTGGTGATCCACCATCTCAAAGGTCAGCAGAAGATACCGCATTCTCGGTGGCTCGTTGGTTCTCAAAAAATGGTAGTCTAGTCAATTACTACATGGTAAGGAAAATGACATAATAAAAAGCTTGTTGTTCATGTTGGTTAGTAATTTGAGATATGCATGTTGTTATATATATAAACCCATGTCTGGTCTCATGCATATTATTATGTCACTGCGCGCAGTACCATGGTGGAACTAATCTTGCTAGGACTGCTGCATCTTTTGTAACAACTCGATACTATGACGAGGCTCCCATTGATGAATTTGGTGGAGTTTTCCAAGATCTACATTATATTTCTCTCTCGTGTTGTGTTGTCTAGCTAAGAGGGAAAAAAATGAAATTATTATATTCTAATAATGGGCTTCATTCATCATTCCAGGTCTTGAGAGGGGACCAAAGTATGGTCACTTAAAGGATGTGCACAAGGCTCTGAATCTATGCAAGAGGGCTCTGCTTTGGGGATCCACGAGTGCACAACGGTTGAACCCAGATGTAGAGGTTCGAATCTACGAGCAATCCGGGACAGATGTATGTGCAGCTTTCCTCACCAACAACCACACCCGACTTGCTCATACTGCTAACTTCAAGGGCCAAGATTACTACCTTCCTCCACGTTCCATTAGTATCCTCCCTGATTGCAAAACTGTGGTCTTGAACACTGCAACGGTATACTATACTATACTAACTGCAATCAATCATTTACAAATTCTTCTAAATGACAACCAATTCTGAGTATATATATGTTAGGGATTGATTATTAGTTTATTTTTGATAAACCCAGATTCTGGCACAACACAATTCGAGGAACTTCGTAAGATCACCAGTCACAAATAAGCTGGACTGGAAGATGAACTCAGAAGTCATTCCAGTCGATCTTAAAGTGACATCATCCACTCCGATGGAGCTCTATTTCTTAACCAAAGATAAGACTGACTATGCATGGTACACCACAACGTAAGACTTACCAGATGGAGCTCTATATCTTGTCATGCAAGCAAATATTAAACAAAATTCTGTCTATGTTGATTGAATTTTTACCAACCATTGGGTCGCAGGATAAACTTAAGTCCACGAGACTTGTCAATGAGGAAAGACATTCTCCCAGTTATTCGGGTTGCGAGTCTGGGTCATGCCATGGTTGCTTTTGTGAATGGCCAATTTGTAGGTTCTGCACATGGAAGCCAGATCGATAAGAGTTTTGTGCTCCAGAAGTCTGTGGAATTGAAGCCTGGAATCAACTATATCTCCCTCTTAGGGACCTTGGTTGGACTTCCCGTGAGTAAAAACTAAACTAAACTAAACTAAACTAAATAAAAAACATTTCAGGTTAATTATCACCAACCATAACTGGACTGGTTGTGTTTCTCACACTTTGAATTACAGGATAGTGGAGCTTACATGGAGCATCGATTTGCTGGACCTCGTGGTGTCTCAATCTTAGGACTAAACACCGGAACACTCGATATATCAGAAAACGGTTGGGGAAATCAGGTTTAAATGCAATGCATATATGTTGTTACCCCATAATATCTTAATTATCATGTATGTGATGTGATTCTCTCGAGGAGACGAGAAACTGACTTGAACTTGAACCCTCCTTCATGTCATGTTATGTTATGTTATAAATAGGTGGGTCTGGTTGGCGAACACGAGGAGCTATTCAACGAGGAAGGATCAAAGAAGGCAAAATGGACAGATCTCCCCAAAGTAGGGAAAGGACCTCCTCTAACATGGTACAAGGCCAAGTTCGATACTCCTGAAGGAAATGACCCTGTCGCAGTTAGTATGTATGGAATGATTAAAGGCATGATTTGGATCAATGGCAATGCAATTGGTCGCTACTGGATGTCTTATGCCTCCCCTCTTGGAGATTCTACTCAAGCCGAGTAAGTCAATTTCCAAAATCCCAAAAACATTCACTAAGCATAACTGCATAAACAAACAAAGAATTCTAGCTAGCTAGATTTTGTTTGTTTGACAGTTCTTCATTATATTAGGTATCTCATCCCGAGGTCGTATCTGAAGCCAAAGGAGAACTTGATCGTGGTGCTGGAGGAAGAACCAGCCCATCCGTCCAACATCACCATCTTGACGGTGAATCGTGACACCATTTGCAGCTACGTATCAGAGCTTAGTCCACCAAGTGTCAGACAATGGGAGAGGAAAGATGACAAGTTCAAGCCAGTTGGACCAGAAGCAAAGGTAGGAGCTCGTCTCAAGTGTCCCAACAGGAAGAAGATCGATGTTGTTGATTTTGCCAGCTATGGTGATCCTTATGGCGCTTGCGGCGGATTCGCACAGGGTAGGTGCACCTCACCGGTCTCCAAACAAGTTATTGAACAGGTAAATGCATGTAATTAATATTCACAAGAATTTTCAAACTAAACTCTGAATCAATCTTTTTTTTAGAGCTAGGTGAAAGAAAGATGGAATTAAACTACTGTGGGTTTCTGGTTTTTGTAATGGGCAGAACTGTTTGGGGAAGGATATGTGCGATGTTCCACTAGATAAGGCGATTTTCGAGAAGAATGGCGACCCTTGCCCTGAAGTAAAGAAGACATTGGCTGTTCAAGTCACCTGCAGGTAGAAGAAAATAAAGGACATGACAGGAAGCAATAAATTTTCAAATTATGAAGAAAAAAAATTTGATAAAAAGAGAGATAATTGTTGATTGGTTATGGAATTTAATTAACTAACAAGAAGATGCTGATCATATTGATTTAGCTGGAGAGGAAATTTGGGACGAGATTTATTTCAGAATTTTGGTTCCCGGTTTTTTAAACCTTTTTTCTACTTCAGCTAAAAAGAGAACGAAAGAAATAACAAGTTGAACAAATTCCATAGTTTTGCAATTTTGCTTGCTCGCAGTTTTTCTCTTCTAGATCTGAGTGAGTACCAATAACAAAATCAATACCACCACTATATATTGAATGAATTGACAAAATTAGCACTGCAAGTATGAAAATATTAGTATGAGTTCTTCCCTTTTTGATTTCTCGCGATTAATATAACATCAAATTAACTATTTTATTCCATTGTTGTTCTCTAACTTAAATTCTTGGATTTATTTATATCCTAAATTTTTTTTCAAGATATGTCACATAAAAATTTCAAGATATAATGAAATGTACTTTTTCTATATATATATTCTCAAAAAGGGAGACATTTATACCGTACAAAAATAAACTCTTTGAAGCCTGAATTCATAAAAGAAAAAGCACGTTGGTCGATCAACCACTGAACTAACAATAAGAGAGTGTTCTTTTCCACGACTCTTATATACCTTTTCAACAAGGATTCAATCCATGATCGAGCATTAACAAAATAGAAAGTCATGGACCGAGCTGGCTTCCAAATGAAAGCTGACTAGCGAAAGAGGACCCAGAAGGCTCATATGCCAAAGGAAGCAGAACAAGCGAAGTTGATCAACTTGCGATCGTGCACAAATACTGCCACGCGTTCCATCTCACACCGACACAGGAAAAGCGCCCACGACATTAGTTAGGATAATAATGGAGAGATCGAGAGAGAATGGCCAAGCCACTTGTCGGGAGCAAAGGGTAGGCAGAAATATTATAACGAAGAGGAATTTTATAATGCTATATAGTATTGGTGCTATAGGTTTTTGCATTTGTGGTACAACTTGAAATTGTACCTTTAACCTTATGGTATAAATTTTAGATTGTACCTATACTTTTTGTACAAATTCATTTATGGTACAACTTTAACTTATACTTTTATGTGATGGTACAACTTCAAGTTGTACAGTTGTACCATAACATAATGGTACAAATTTCTTTATGGTACAACCTAAACTTATACATTTAATGTTATGGTACAACTTCAAGTTGTACATTAAAGCACCAATACTATACAGCATAGTATAAGTGCTCTTATAATGAAATGTAATTGAAGATAAACTATTTCGACAACTACAGTAGTATGTTCTATTAGAAACTTAGTGAACCTATCATTTTCCTTAATTTTATACATCAAAGGTGTTCGGGAAATTAGAGCATGACAATATAAACTGGATCTTTATCAATAAAAACATAGAAGTTCTCCAAATTAGTCATCCAAACTTTTTATATATATGTAAAGCGAATGAAACAAAGAACATGATTTCATAAATTTAAGTTGCAATCATAACTAAATTAACTAAAAACTTAGGTGGTTTCTTTTCATACTAGGTGGGAGCCACAAATCAAAATCAACAACATAAATTTTGATAATCGACAATTTTATTACGTAATGCCCGATTCAAAGGTGATGAATACTTATTTATTTTGATGGTCTCAGTTTAAAATTTAAATGTCAACCTGATAAGGTGAATCACGAATCCTTACCTCAATAAGCACATATTGGTGTTAACATGTTACCTACACAATTATCTCTATCTATATCCTTTACAATCCTACAAAACCAATTTTGTCCAACTAACTTGTTTTGGTTAACATAAATTATGTGATCGATTTTGACTCGTAACTTATCATCACTTGATCCACACCCATGATAATAATGAATGCCACTTTGATCTTACCATTGCGGTAAGATTATAGCTTGATGTCATAGGTTTACTATTTCATTAAGGGTGTGTTTGGATAGAATGATTTGGAATTGGTATTTGTGATTTGAATTTCTAAATGTCAAATCATGTGTTTGGATATTAACTACATTTGGTATTTGAATTTGTGCCAAATTAATGAGATGATTTTCAAATACATGTCTAATGTATTACTTGTCAACTTCAAATACATTTCTACAACTAGTGATTTGAAATACCTCCTAACTAAAGAGTGGACCTATTTGTAAAATATTGAAGTTTAGGTACTATAGTGTGAGGCAAAATATATAAAGGTACCAAAAGATAATTTTACCATCAAAATTTTTGGACATTTTTGTAAAATTTTAAAATTTTAGGTACTTAATTGTAAGAAAAATAATTTGGATACCGAACTGTAATTTACCAAAATTTGTAGTAAGTGAGCAGAAAATTCAAAATTGAAATAAAAATTCAAAAAATTCAAAATACAAAAAAATTACAAATGAGTATCCAAATAATGAATTTGAATACATGTATTTCAAATTCTAGTATTTCAAATACATGCATTTTAAATACTTATATTTCAAATACCTTATATTTCAAATACAGCTATCCAAACGTACCTAACGAATTCCAAATCACCACAAATAATTTCCTTATAAAATAATGTTATGATGAAGGGTTTAATGATACATATAATTTCAACAGAACAAAAGGATGCGAAGAGCGGAAGCCTGAAGAAAGGACACAAAACCCGGATCGTGGTTGGAACTAACTGACACTCACTAACAAAACACAGAGGAGAGATCAAGACAAGAAAAATATTATCCGTAGAATATGAAACTCCTATAACCTCCTCGGGGTCTAATTCATGTGGAGAAAGAGGAATCTCCTAATTTCATACTGCTGATAGGGAGAGGTTCGAAGTTGCTCTACCAATTACCAAATTAATCAGCTTGATAACATGTAATTTATACATATTTTTATATCCCTTAATGTCCTTTACTTGGTCATTTCACCAATATTTCTATGTTTTTACCAATTTTATGCTTGATTTGTGGTTTTAGTGTGTTTCAGGTCATTGGAACTAACTTTGACGATATTTGGACAAGAACACAATCAAGGATGAAAGAAGAGGTCAACATCAATTTTTGGATGAGATGAACCCTAGCTTTGTGATTTTGAATTGATTGGATTTCAATATAGATGTGTGTTTATTTTCCTATGATATGTCTCTCTTTTATCTTCCGAGCTTTCAATTGAAGTTGACATCTTGCTTGCTTGTATGTTTTATGTGTCTGACGAGGAGAAGATCTCATTATGCATGATAGAACACTTATCGATATAAGGGACCTCGAACTACTAGAAGATGGAGGGAGAGGGATTTGTGGATTGGGGCAACACCTAATAGGAGGAATTCAAAGATCAATTAATGCATTGGTAATTGAATCTAGGTCAAGGATAATATCATATCTATGTTTAAGCGACTAATAGATGATTAATACGAGAGAAGATCGAGTTAATGCAAATTTGGGAATTCCTACAGTTTGGGAATAGTAAATCACATTTTTATTGTGTTTGATAGTGTTTTTCAGCGAAGAAAATCTCTGGTGTTTGATATTATTGCTTTGTACCTTGACTTATTGAACAACGATTAATAACACGGTTCACTCCTCTTCAAACAAAGTTCGAACGAGGGTGTTTGATGATTTTGATGGCTAAGCAAACTAAGTTAAGTTACTCTTACTCCTACTCCTATAAAGGTTCATTGAGAGCTCCAAAAACTAAAAGCTACGACTATGGCTACATTGAAGATAAAATATAAAGTTTGACATTTGGTGTCAAATGTTTGGTTGTGGAGCCCCTGCTTCTTCTTCGTTTCTCCTATTTATAGCCACTAGGTTTAATTGCCTTGGTAACCACCCTGGTAACTGCAAGCCGGCATGTTGCTCCAACCGCCTTAAGACTCCCTAACCCATCTTGGTAACCGCAAAGGAGTTTTTTGCTCCAACCACCTTAGGGACCCCTTGTCGTCACCTTGGTGGCCAATTGGTAACCGTTGTCTTGGTCTTCACCCCCATTGCCTTTGGCTCCTTACCCTATCCTATTGTCTGGTTGGTATTGTCATCTGGGTGGCTTGGCATAAGGCTTGATGAGTTGAGGTTCATCTTGTCGCCTCATCTTGACTAGAAGCGGTTGGGGCCTCCTTGTCTTGCCTCCGTCACATTGGCTCTCTCATCGAGCCTCCTTAACAATCCTGACACCTTGATGATTCCATACTTAGTTCCTTTAATGCCACCTTACTACCCATCTTCGTCTTGTTAGCTGGGCCTTGTTACCCACCTAGACATGATGAAAGCTTGGCCTGTTCCCCCATTAATTCTCCACACTTAGTCTTAGGGAGCTTGACATTGCACCTAACTTGTCATCTTGGTATCAAGCTTGTCTTGTCGACTTGATACCCTTGCTACCAAGCCAGCCCTGCCAGCTTGGTGTTCATATTTAGCTTCTAGAATCTTATCAAGTTGGTACCTTGCACCCTGTCGGCTTGGTACCCCGTTAGGGGGCCACCAAACCCATCTTGGGATTTAGTCTCCATATAGCCCCCTAAGGGGCTCTACATCATGTCCATGATGACTTGGTACCCTCTAGGGGTCTTGGTACAGAGGTTTCCTTGTTGGCCTGGTACCTCCTTAGCTCCATAATTTACCAAATTCATGTTTTTCATGTCTTGGTACCAATCCCTGCCTTGCCGGCTTGGTACCCTCTTGGTACTTTTGCTTGGTACTTAGCCAATATTGCCCTGCTTGGTACCCTCAGTCTACCAAGCCTCTTTCGTCTTGGTACCCTGTCGTTTGGCCCCCTGTTGTTCATGAAATTTGAGTTCAACGACTCAATAATCTGAAGTGATGTGGTCATGAGGGGGAGCAGATACGCACTGCACTCTTTTTCCCTTAACCATGGTTTTTTTCCCAATGGGTTTTCCTGGTAAGGTTTTTAATGAGGCAGTATGATATAGCGTAATGCAATCTAGTGGTCGTCCA